AGAGTATTAACTTCCGTTTGAAGAGTAGTAAATGCTTGTTTCATGTCTTGAAAACTTTGTTCGGATTTATCTTCTAATGACTGAAATTTGAGATCAATATTATCTATTTTGCCGAGAATACGATCACTGATTAGGGTGAGCGTATCATTCATTTCTCGACTCATTTTAGAAATGGAAGTATCGATTAACGATTGAACTGATTCTGTAGTCATAGGTTGAGACGGGTTCGGAGGATCGGGTCCTCCGGAAGTGTTTCCGAATAGATTTGACGAATAACTCATGTTTTCGTATTGAGTTACCAATTGATCAACAGTTTGAGAAGTTATAGTATTATCGACTGATTTGAAACTTTCAGCGATTGAAATGTCTGTAGAATTAGAATCGAAGAGTTCTTCTTGTGATTCGTTTACGGAATGCGGTTCTTCTGAATCGACTTTATTTTCAGAATCATTATTAGAATCGAGTGTAAGAACTGATTCTTTGTTTAGATTTGGTTCTGAATTTACTTCTTCTGAATCACTGATTACTTCTTCTTCTAATTCTGGTGTTCTTCTGAATCGACTTTATTTTCAGAATCATTATTAGAATCGAGTGTAAGAACTGATTCTTTGTTTAGATTTGGTTCTGAATTTACTTCTTCTGAATCACTGATTACTTCTTCTTCTAATTCTGGATTTAATGGCAAATTTCTTCGTTTACGCCAATCGCGAGTTCTCGGACCCGACATTGAATGTACATATTGTCCGAAAAACACACTTAATTTCAGATAATTTTGGGTTACGTTGACTTCGATGAAAATGTTTATAAAATTAACTCAAATACATGCCATCTATGTATCAGAGGTATTGAATACATAAAATACCCTGTTCATAAAAATGGCGTCAAATGATGACTAGAGTTTTAAAAAAAACACGTTTTATTATCAAAGCTTAGCACCTCCACCAAGTTGGAGTGAACGGCGGCTGAAGGGGGGATTTCAGAGCTGATCCACTCTAACAGATCATCAAATAACTCGTTTAAATAACACATTCAGATAAACGATTAACAAATTAGTTTTATTGAGATTAACTGATGTCGCAAAAATTAAAACTATTAAATCAAATTCTTAATTTAATTGTGGCCATTATACCCGCTAAATATGCCCGTTGGCCTAAATTTTAGAGCTTGATGGTTTCACCTAATCGTAAAGTGTCTTTTAGTACAATTTTTAACGCATAAATCCAATATCAGATAATGGAATTCACTTTTGAGTTATTTAAAATTGTATTATTAAACCACCATGTTTATAACTATAATATGCGGCCGAAAAATATTAAACATTACTGGATGAGTTAGTTTTAAAATACAATTTAATTAACAACAGTAATATTTACATAAAATTTAATAAACAACAAGGTTGCAAGTAGGTTATGAATATAAACTGGTTGAAACGAGTTATTCGTTACGTTTATTAGCATTTTTGTAATTAATTTCACATACGTTATCAAAAATAACCAAAATATTTAAGTTTATAAAGTGATTATAGCTGTAATATTTATTCTAAATTAATTTAGAAATAATGGTGAGCAATGGTTTTAAATATAATTGGTTTACTAACGGATTTTACTTTATTATTAAACAATTTTTTAAAGTTACAAAATAATAATATGTAATATTTTTGATGATCAATATTTTTATATTTATTGTAATATTTGGTTTAGTACATTTATATCAAATATATTAATTTTATATCATTTTATATCCTATTAATTTTATATAATTTTATATCAATAGCTAAAATACTATTATAATTGTAGTTAATTTTACAAATATAGATTTTATTGATATATAAATGCTAATTGAAACAAAACAAGTAAAATAGTAAATAAATAAATGTTAATAATTCTCAAGAGACATTAAATATAGTAATTATATAAAATAATTAATACCCGGTTTAATAAGAATAATTAAATTGGTTAATGAGTACATTACTGGTGAGTGCATAAAATATAAATATTAAACATGATTATATTTTATTCCAAAAACAGCTTGATCAGTAATTCATAAACAGAGCATTGCATTATAGGTGAATATAAAACCCCCAATAGTCACTATAATAGTTACGAAAAAAGGCCATATAGTTACTTAAATACAGAGTAGTTGTTACATATGGAGTGAACGGCGGCTGAAGGGGGGATTTCAGAGCTGATCCACTCTAACAGATCATCAAATAACTCGTTTAAATAACACATTCAGATAAACGATTAACAATTAGTTTTATTGAAATTAACTGATGATTAAATACATTAATTGAATTGAAATTATATTAGAGCTTACGCTCGACTGTACTGTACGACAGCCAGTAGTCAATTGATTATATTATCCCAGTTTACCACTGAGAATAGGTTTCATNTAAATACATTAATTGAATTGAAATTATATTAGAGCTTACGCTCGACTGTACTGTACGACAGCCAGTAGTCAATTGATTATATTATCCCAGTTTACCACTGAGAATAGGTTTCATAGAAATTAATATTAGTGTTCAGAAAGTAATAGATATGAGTTTTAATACTCATTGTAAGAAAAGTATATTCTGAACACTTATTAATCAGAAGTTATTAATACAATGAAATTGGTATTAAACTGAATTAATATTAAATGAATAATAGATAATTAGGACTGAATGGGAATAAATAGAAGTATTAATAAATGATAAGCAATATTCAGTCCACAAGTGTCGACAAAATATTGACTATGAACAATTTAATCTATAATTCTGTAATTTTATAATTGTGTTAGTATTTATAAATATCTAAAATGTATATTAACAATTTTGTTAACCACAATTCAGCTATGAATTATGTGGGTTATAAGATTGTTAGTTTACACATACACTCGTTTACATTGAATTTAACGATTTGTTTTACATGAAATTATAAATTCACGTTTAAGTATAATACGTTATATTGCGCGTAGAAGTAATAGTAATTTTATTTTAATCATTGAATGTACATATAATCCCCTTCTTTCTCCTACCCAGTTGAAAAGAATTCTGGATATGATCCGGCACAATATGGTAAATTTCCTATGCCTAGTGAACTAGAAAAAACTAATGAGAAAAACGGCCCAACAGCACATGTTCGTCAGTCTAAGCCTGACCTGAATTATGACCAAAATCATATTAATAGATGGGATGATGACCATATCAAACATGGTATAAAATAATAATTTAAATAAATGTGGGATGCTAGTGCTACATATGTTAAATATGCAAGTGTATACAAAATATTAACAATAAACCATTTAATCTATAATTCTGTAATTTTATAATTTTGTTAAAAGTAAAATTAGTATTTTGATCATGGAACAGGTCACGGAGCAGCACCAGCCGCTACTGATAAACCACTTACTGAAAACGAAAAATTGGCCATGCTTAAAATATATGTATCAAAGTCAATACATATAACTCGCGAATCGGCCGAGTACGGGTGTGGCCAGACGTGTCCACTTAAAGAAACATGTATATATAACGAACAAGGCAATCATGAGCCAATTTGTGCTAGCGACAAATTGTTTAATGCTATTGTGACTCGACATCGGGCTGATTATCGCGACATAAACGAACTTGATGAGCATAATAAAACTGGCTAACATGGCCTGATTCCCATTTAAGATGGTGCAGGGATGAATCATATAATTAAATTTATATTAAAAATTGTTGTTGAATAAAAAATAATTACTAAAATCGCAATGTGATATAAATTAATTTAAGTTATATACATAATAATACTGTATAAGTTTTATTGCTATATTTATATTACAAGCAAATAATTGTATTATCATGCACTTCAACAGCCGTATGTCCCACTCATGTCCCTATCGCGCCTTTTTATGTGCGAGTGTATACTGTATGGTGAATATTAACCAATTAGTAATAGTTAAAATAATGAAACACCAGCTATTAACCAAAGTTAAACTATAAAATACTATAATTAATCATTACAATACATCCTATTGACTAGAAATATGTAGCCTAGATGTTCCTGATCATGCAACTTAACAGTAAATGGTATAATCTAAAATTTAAGTATATTTTTATCTTTATATCTTTTATTTTATAATTTATTTTAACATTTATTTATAATAATAAAATAATATAGACGATAATATAAAGTTTAACATTTATAACCACTTATAATTATTTTTATTAGATATTTTAATGTCATTTAAATAATATATTTATTGTTATAGACAAAGTCTTGTGACCTTTAATAAGTTTATTAAAATATTACTTATTATACAAAATATAATTTTAACCTAAATCAATTTCATACACAAAACATTACAAAAACATAATACTTAAATAGACACCTGAGACCGAGTAGATTATATATTTGAATTATCATCATTTATTTTACTTTTGACATTAATTATATCAATTGCACTTTAATTAATGTATTAAAATTTAATAAGTAAATGGTATAAATAGAATTAAAAACTACATTATTTATAAATAATATATAATTCTGTAATAATACAATATAAATAGTTATGTATCTAGTATATTTATTTGTATTTCTCACATATTCTAATTGTAAGTATAAATCAATTGTTAAATAGTATTCATAATAAAATATTGTAATTTATACAAACAATTAATTAAATTATAAAAAGCTAAAATTAATATTTATTTATATTTAAATATGTTAAATTACTATTTATTTACTATACTATAGACATTAAAGCAGAGGGTGTATGTGGACATCAATGGGACATATTTCACGATGATTATTATAATATATGCTATAAATATTATAAAGGGTATTTCAACGATTACGTGACCGGGGCCAATTGGTGCCAAACAGAAAATGACTCATCGCTGCCAACAATTAATACACAGAGAGAACAAGAATTTTTAAACACAATTATAATAAAATACAAAATAGTTGATAATCTATGGCTCGACGCCAGCATAAAAAACAAGCACATTGTGTGGGCGGACGGGACGAGCGCTGAGTATGAAAATTGGATACCTGGTCACCCTATCAACGAAAGTAATTGCGTGGAAATGGTTACCGATGAGTCCAATGTAGGCCAATGGCTGGAGCGACCATGTACCAAAAGAAATGGTATTATATGTAAGCGTATTGTACCATGGTCGATGCAACGTAGGGAGCGAATGAACAGGGATTATCTGCGTAAAGTAGATCGATTAGAGTTTACCAAGGTACCGATTGGTTTTATATACGTTCAGCTACCCGGCCAGGCTGAGCCCAATGTTTTATGGTCCGACTATACGTGGTTCGATGTGACGGCGCACTACGCGGGTCAATTTTTCCGAGCAGAAGGCAATGGTAGCCTTGCTTTTGGTGCGGGTATACAACCGGGTAATGCACCTAGGTTGACAACAGTACAATATGATCGTAATTACCCATATGATCATACCACATATTTAAAACCCGGAGAGTGGAGTAATTATTTTCCTACTGGTAAAGAAGAGTTACCTTTACTACTATTAAGGTTGTTTCAGACCGGGGGTGAAGTGCGTCCAATTAATCAGGCGGTGCGCATATACAAGCGCATTAAATAGATATATTTAACAAAATTATCTAGTATATAAATAACTTGCGATTTTTTTAAATGAATTTCAAATTAATGTTTTAAATAATATTTGATTTCCAAATAATTCTGAAAATTGTATGTTTTAAAACGATTAAACTTGTGTTTAATTTAATTATTATTACATTCTCAATTTAGTTAAAATACACAATGATTTAAAATAAACCATTAATCCGTTGTAAATGTTTTAAATTTTTATGTAATTTTTTAAATCTTGTTTAGAATTATTTATTTAGCATTTATCAAATATTATCATAAAACAACAGGTATCATTATATTAATATCTAATAATTAATATAATAAAGTATTTGTAATGATTTTTTATATGAAAACTGAACATGTAAAATAATTATTTATTCATTATTTTACATTTTATTATTTATAAATTATAATAATTTTTTATTGTTTTAAACTTTTTTAAACATTTAATTATTTGTTTAATTATTAATTATTTGTTTAATTATTAATTATTTGTAATATAGTTTGTTCTTGTTATATAAATATTTATTGATTTACTTTATTAATTATCTATTATTCTGTTTGTATTTCATTTAATCTAATTAACTTCAAAGACAATTATCAGTTTAACATTTAAAAACATTTATACGTATATTATTTTTATTAAACATCTAAATGTCATTCAAATATTTTCATTAATGTTATAAACAAAGCCTTGTGTCCATGTTTATCAAAAAAAAATAATTATTTATTATATTAAATATAATTTTAATCTAGATAAATTTTATACACAAAAATTACAAAAACATAACACTTGAACTACCACCTGAGACCATGTTGATTATAATAATACTTTATATTTGAAAAATTATCATTTATTTTACTTTTGACATCAATTATATCAATTTCACTTTTATTAAAGTATTAAATGTTAGATAATTAAATAGTATAAATAGAAGTGAATATTAATTAATTTATAAAGTAAATATAATTCTGTAAAAAATACAATATAAATAGTTATGCATCTAGTATATTTATTTGCTTTTTTATCATGTTTTACAAGTATGTATTAATTATACTATCTATTACAATTATTCTATTAAACTTTTTATAATAAACTTACATATAAATTATTTTTATCAAAAATAAAATATTTTAAAATTTAATTCTACTAATAATGTCTTGATATGCATAAATGTTTACACAAAATTATAATGATGAATTAATTTTTATTTTTAATAATAATTATTATTAATGTTAAGCAGCGTTGGTTAGATCGGAAGGCGTGTGCGGAGATGATTGGGACCTATTTCACGATGGCTACTACGATATATGCTATAGATATTACCCAGACTTGACAGATGGGTATACGACCGTGGTCAACTATTGCCAAACACAAAACGACTCATCGCTGCCAACAATTAACACAAAGGAAGAGCAAGATTTTGTCAACAAAATGATAACAAAATACAAAATAGCGGACAATATATGGATCGACGCCAGCATTAAAAACAAGCACATTGTATGGGCGGACAAAACGAGCGCTGACTATGAAAATTGGATACCTGGTCATCCTATCAACGAAAGCGATTGCGTTGAGATATCCACTGACGCGTCTACCCTGGGTAAATGGTCCGATAGGGCTTGTACCAGGAAAAATGGTTACATATGCAAACGCATTGTGCCATTGTCGGCGCAGCATCGGGAGCGTTTATTCAGGGACAATCTGCGTGAATTGGCTCAACTACAGCAACGCCAGGCGCCGGTGGGTTTTATATACGTCCAGCTGCCCGGTCAGGCTGAGCCACAAACCCTGTGGCCCTCATACACGTGGTCGGATGTGACGGCCCAATACGCGGGTCAGTTCTTTCGGGCCGAGGGTGGAGGTAGTGTTGGCTTTGGTAAAGGCGTGCAGTCCGAGAATGCACCTAGGTTGACAGAAGTACAAGAACATGATCAGTCCGGTACTGCCACTGACGTTAAGTTAACACCCGGTGATTGGAGTGGTTATATTCATTCGGGCGCAGGTATGGGCACAAATATGTGTCTCAGGTTTTTACTGAGCGCCGGTGAAGTGCGCCCTATCAATCAGTCGATGCGCATATTTAAGCGAACCAACTAGGTGAATGATTATTTAATGGTATTATAGTGACAGATTTGAATTGAATTATTATTTCAATAAGCTAATGTAATTACCACTATCAATAATTTCATAATAAATTGGAAAATACAAAATTAGTATTCACCGCCATTAGCAAACGTGCCTGATTAACGATTAATTTAGTTTTACAACAATATTTAAAAAAATAATAAAACAATTATAATTGTTTATATGTTTATTGATTAAAATTAAATAATCAGTGAATTATATAAAATATAATATATTTCTTTATTTAGTATACATTATGTGCTAATTATTATTCTACGTTATTTTATTTAAGGGGGCGGTCAAGTGATTCCAAGACTGCGGTTTTCATTATATCTCTTAAACGAGAAGAGATAAATTGATTCTGTAAAAAGCATTCTATAGCCCCATATACGCGGGATCTGTTGCATAGGCGGT